GTGGGTGGGGGTGTGGTGTGGGTGTGGGTGTTGTGTGTGTATATAGTGGAAACTCACATGCAGACACCCACGCACACCCACACCCACACCACACCCACACCACACCCACACCCACACCCACACCCACACCCACACCACACCCACACCACACCCACACCCACACCCACACCCACACCACACCCACACCCACACCCACACCACACCCTCCTGCTCCGCTGATTTTCTATTGACAGTGATTTTCGACAGAATCTTTGAGTAAAACATACCTTATTTCACAGCAACAGCAACAAATATCTTATCAATACGCACACCTTTGCTGCATAATCACATAAAACTATCATTGATAAGATGCTTAATCTTCTCAAGCTTCGAGTAGTAAATATGAAACCATGAAGGAGGCTGTAGTCAATAACAAACTCAAACTTTTCATCGCCTATCAACTTTTTCTGTCACGAATTAGTCAGAGTTTTCTAAATATCCTCACTCATAGATTCTGCAAGGTATACATCGATTGCTGACTCGATCATCCATATAGATGTCAGGACTGGATGATCTTAGGTTCTTCATCGAACGCCCCCCCCCCCCCACCGTAATAGAAGGCCACCCCCTGTATAAGGCTATGTCTGAGCAAAAGTTCAAACGCACTATTAGAAGGCCATGCACTAATTAATTAATATGTTCCAAAAATATCGAATTTTTCATAAATATTAATTAATAATTAAGGAAATATATCCGATTTTCTAGTGTTTTTTTGCGAAATCCTTTCTGTTCTATCATAAATAGTACACTTTTCACGAAATATGGTAGGTTTTTAGTAAAAAAAACACCTAAAAACACTAATTAAAATTATTGATTAATTATTAAAAAATTTCTATTATTTTAATTAATAATTTGCCAAAAAGTTACCCTCAATAGAAGGCCACCCAAAAAGTAACGATGTGCCGAGACACTGTATAAGGCCATGGCCTTTTATTCTGGGGGGGGGGGGGGGGGGGTGAAAAACACCCCAGAACACATTTTTTCTGTCCGTAACGTCGGTTCACATACCCACAACCAC